GAGGAAGCTCACACTCTAGACGATGAGGAGATCGACCTAATTAATTAATACTTTCTTGGAAGTTACTTTGTAATATGGTCCACGCACAGCCGATCATTTCTCTCACATAGTTCAAATCAGCAAGACACAGCATGAGAAGACAAAAAAATTCGCGAAGTCGAAGTCCATTTATGACTTTGTTGTCTCCAGAAAGGTTCCGAAGAAATTACACAGGCATGCTATAGATCAAATGGTTATACTACTCAAGACATTGCAATACAGAATCAGTGCTCAGTTGTTTTTCACATTATGTTGATAGAACTGGTCCAAAAGAGACTATTTAGAGTTTGTAAACGTGAAGAAAAGAAGAGCAAAGTGTTTGTTCAGCTTTCTTATGAAGTTTCGTTTGGACTGACCTTGACCTCAAGCAATGTGTTGGAAACTCAACTGATGGTGTAGTAAACATGCAAAGGCAAGGCACCAGAGGGGCTTCAATACTCTTGCTATCGAACGAAACTCCAAGGCAGTTTCATGTTTTGTGTCAGACGAACAAGTCTTACTCATATTAAATCTTCTTTCAGGAAATTTACCACCGAATGAGCACAATATTATGGAGTAGACACTCCACAACCATGAAGAGTACGGTTTGGGAAGTATTGAAAAAACTTGATGGTAGTCTGTAGACAAAAGATACTGCCTTCAAGATGGCTATCGATTCTTATGTCATTTCAATAGGTACACTTTTTTGTAGAAATGTTATGACCAGCCTTAAATCACTACCCCAGCTGCTGACAATACGAATCAGCTTTTTTGACTAAGGTGAAATTCTTGCATAGCTTTAATATATTCTCCCGTACCACAGCGCTTTCCTCCAGCATCTGCCAACTGAACTTCTCCCCCCCCCCCCCCCCTCTCTCTCTTCTCTCTCTCCCTGTAGGTCGGGGGAATATGAATAGACCCACTGCCTTGTATGCAAGAGGGGTCGAAACCCCTCCAATGACGAAGTGAGGCACACGGACCCCAACCCTCTGGGTTCCGTGTGCGACATTTACTTTGGTGTATCTTCCTCTTCTCCTTCCTTCTTTCTTTTTTCTTCTATCTCTTCTTCTACCGCTGACCTCATGTGGAGCAAAACTAGAGGTCATCCATCCCACAGAGTGAGTGCCTCGTTGAGCGTGAGGTGCGACCCGTGCGGAGGGAAGCCGGGTACCTGGCAGTTGAGGTGAGATCAGTCTGCGGACTGTCCCTCACCAACACACATCTTTGGCCTAGGTTTTCCTGTTACTCTTAGAAGGGAGGGTGGCATGGCCCATGCCTCTCAATCGGTTGGGAGCTGAAACCGTCAATCTTGACGGTAGGGTCTTATACTCCGGGGTAGCCCTGGCACAGCTCTGGTTATCCCTTGTTGGGCTCGGTGGCGGGCGGGGAGCCCGGAGTTGAACCTCCCACATAATAGTCATGGAATCTAAAAACCCTAAAGACCCTTCCTCAGCTCCCAACCTTCACAAAAAGTCTCGGCTCGCGAAAGCAGGTGTGGCAACCGGGCCGAGCAAACCATCTACCTCTTCAACCTCTTCAGTAAGAAAGGACCTTTATGGCTGCCTCTACCCTCCCTCTTCCCATGGAGCTTCCACGACATCCGTACTTGACCATCTGCAGCTCGGATGCACTGAAAAAGATCAAAGATCTTAACCTATTCAAGACTGGAGATGCACTACGACAAGTTCTTGGATACATTCCTAGGAATTTCCAGAAACTGTCCTCTGGTGAACCCCTCGTCAAGTGCGCATTGGAAACAGAAGTAGCCGGACTTGAGAAGATCACGACCTTCTGTGGTATTCCTTGTGTATCCGAGCAACACCAAAAATTCAACCAGCCGAAGAGCAAGGTCCACAGCCATGAGCTGAAGGACTGCTTAAATGAGAAATTTATGGCTAATTGCGAGGGTGTGGTCAGAGCCCGCTGGATTACTCTTTGGTGCAGTGGCGGTGGGTGGACCAAAATTTGGGTGGGGCTTAGATTGCTTCCAGTTCTTCATCACCAAATAGCAAGCAATAAGAACTAAACAGTGATGATTTTTCTATACTCACGGTGAGCCACGACATTTAGTAAACCATTCAAACGAGAAGAGTTACCTTTGTTTTCAGTCTCTTTTTTCTTAGTTTAATTCTTGTTGATGGTGGGGATGAAGCCGATTCACCTCCAAATTTCCTCTAATTAATTTTCATGTGATGAAGAAGTTGCCTTAAAAGTAGTTCGGCCTCATGTATAACTGTTAAATCGAAGCGGCACAAACAAAACATGCACACACAGCACTTCAAACATAATAATTACTTCTATGAGCTGGATTGGGCCGTGAAGTTGAGAAAGTTGAACGCACCCGACAAAGAACCAATGAGCGAATAGGTATCTGTGTCACTGGGGGTAAGTGTGTTGTAAACTTTCACCCCATTGTCAGGGCTAGGAGAATGTGAGCCCTCGCTGCAGTGTTATTTTTTCAAGTCTGTTACCTTTTTTACAAGAAGATTTTCATAAAGGACGAGCCGTGAGAAAGGGCCCATCCCTTGCTGAGCCCTAAAAACATTTGATTGGCTGCTGGGTTACTAAAGTTGTAAGCGGTGACAACAGTGATTGGATAAACGAGCAAGCCGCCGAGGTGATCACTCTGTGTTCATTGCGTGTGGTCATAACAGTTTCAACTGCTTATTTCATTATGGAGAATTTTTCGTTTACTTTGGGATAGAGTTGGGGTGGTGGGTGGGGAGGGGGCAGGGGCTCAAGCCCATGAGCCCTTCACTACCCACCGCCACAGTCTGCTCTCCATTTGTAATACACGTAACAGTGAAAGCAGTTCACAACAAAGAGTGAGCTTAAGAAGAAGTCACATCTTTACTGTTAAAAAATGGAGATAGGACAAGAAAGTACTGTTGAGGTCGTGAGTTGACAGCGCTCTAGCGAGACGCCCTTCCCGGTTTTTTGGCGTAATAAGAATGTACTTTGGATTCCGATTTCCGATAAAGCCGACAACGCCGATCCGAGCTTATACTGCAGTCTGCCAGCTCTATGTGGGGCAAGTTGGAAATCATTTAAGGGAATTTTTATACCTATTTGCGCTTACTAAGTCAGTCTCCGAAATCGGCGTTCTCTATGTTTTCGCCCATACACACTATCTTTGGTGCCACTGCAGAAGAATTAAATTTAAAAATAGAACTGCGAAACCTCGGAGAACGTAACGGCAAAAAATTGAAACAGTTGCGAGAAATGACATAATATTATAGCGGTCGACGTGATTTTCTGCGTTGACCTTGAAGAGAACCAAAAGTCATCTCCGAAGACATGCACAACGACACAAATATAATATTTTGAAGTATTATAACACACACACGCACACACACACACACACACACACACATACACACACACACACACACACACATACACACACACACATACATACATACACCCACATACACACACACACGCACGCACACACACACACGCACGCACACACACACACTCACACACACACACACTCTCTCTCTCTCTCTCTCTCTCTCTCTCTCTCTCTCTCTCTCTCTCTCTCTCTCTCTCTCTCTCTCTCTTCAGCTACCCCCCCCCCCCCCCAACCAGGCATAAGGAGAAAAAATGGTGATGCCACATTTCCTATTAATTTTACGGAACATTTAGATCCAAGTACTTCACATTTCTATTTTGTGTAGATAACTAGTGAATTTAAAAGTTCTTATATTCTAGTAGAATAAATAGATGGTTATTATTGGGGGGGGGGGGTTTATAATTATTTCTATTATTAATATTAATATTATTATTATTATTATTATTATTATTATTATTATTATTATAATTATTAGCAGTAGTAGCAGTAGTAGTAGTAGTAGTAGTAGTAGTAGTAGTAGTAGTAGTAGTAGTAGTAGTAGTAGTACTGTCCCCGTAGAATTATGCGAATTTAGATGGCCAAGTTATGCCCAAAAAATGCCAAATTATGAAAAAATTATGCAAGTTACCGTAACACCTTTCGCGACATTTTGCACTTTTTCAACACAAATTTTCATGACTTTTATGTTTTAAGTACAGAAAAATTTGAAACAGAACATATCAGTATCAGTAATTTGTAGTGTATTTGTAAAGAAAACAATACACATCTGTAATTTTTAAAAAATTTTAAAATAAAAAATATAATCTCTGTAACTTTCAGCTGTAGATCTAGATCTAGATTTAGATCTAGATTTCTAGATCTGGAAAAGAAAAAGTTAAAAACAAAAAAAAGGACATCTGGATCTCTGATGCTGGCACATTACTAAAACCAGGGACACCTGTCAAGCATGAAGCATCAGCAGATATGAGAACAACAACTTTTGATGGATTGAAAAATTGAACATGCTCAAGGAACAAAATCCCAAACCATAACCAAGATCTTCTACCAAGGGAAATAGCCAGCTTTTAACTTAAATAAGACTTATTACGGCGATTATTTCCCTTTAGTCACATGGCGAGGCGTTAGTTAAAAAATCAATTGTATTGTTTTTTAAAAATGGAAAAAACGTGAAAAAACGCGGGGAATCCAAAATTGTGTAAATGTGCAGAATTACGCGAAAAAAACGCGGCCACGCCGCGGCCGCACAATCGCATAATTCTACGGGGACAGATAGTAGTAGTTATAGTAGTAGTAGTAGTAGTAGTAGTAGTAGTAGTAGTAGTAGTAGTAGTAGTAGTGGTGGTGGTGGTAGTACTTATAATAATATCATCATCTTCATCATCATCATCATCATCATTATTATTATTATTATTATCATTATTTTGCCAGGTATAAAACAATTTTATCCTTTTTATATAATGATAATATCATAGAACTAGAGTCTTTTTTTTTTCAGGCAACAGGACTTAGATTATCTATTGCGATAGTACCCAATCAACGGACGAACACGGGCGAGATTATAATGGTCCGGGGGGAGGAAAAAAGATTTTAGAGTTTAGACTGCGTGGATTACAATGCGTCACACATTCTAACTTTGTACCTTGAAAGATAGAGTGGAGCAACCTGACCTGGGTTCGTAGTGAAACGTTAGTCCGTAGCCACAGTCAAGTCAACATTTTCTACAAGATTTAGAGGGTCTTTACGGTAATATGATGGTGAAACTGGGAAAAAATTCTGCATGATCGAAACTTTTCAGTAGGCTAGATATAGATTTAGATCTAGATATAGATAGATCTAGATCTAGAATCTAGGCCTATTCTTCTAATGTACATACTGTGCCCACTGTTGTGGCCGATTCCATTCGTAGTGAGCACCCCGTAGGCTATTTTGTAGTGTAAGCACGCGCGGCTTTCCGAGCGACATGCTATTGAGAGCACCTAGCACAAAATAGGTCATGATGTTTTTCCGCTATCTATTTTTGTCGTCTTCCGAGGTTTCCCTCACGAGTTGACTAGATCCCCTAGATCTATCGCCCTTTATTATTTAATTATTATCATTCAACTGAATGCCGGTGACAAAGTTACTAACAATATAGAAATGCAGCGTCCTGATGTTATCAAAGATTGTCTAACTACTACCAAGATGTTTCAATTGCCCTATCTCGCGTCTGAACGAACCCTGGGCGCTAGATCTACCTCGTTTTAGCGCGTGACGGCCCGTGGTACGAGTGTAAACAAACGTTCCACGGCTCAGTTGAAAGATAAATTTTGTTTGCAAGCAGAGAGAAGGGGGGGAGAAAGAAAAAGAGAGAGTGTGAACGAGAAAGAGACAGAGAGAAAGAGAGAGAGAACGGTGGACGGTGTTTAAGTTATTAGTTAGAATTTCTGATTGCTGTCATTTTCTCTTTATGTCGCAGGGCTCCCCTTTTCAGACCAACTTAACTCTCTCGAGTTCACGCCCTTGTATATCGACCGATATCGGTCGATGGCCGGTGGGCCCAGAG